GGACACACCGCTGCAGTGTGTTAGTACCCCAGGAGGAGGCCTGTGTGCACCAGAGGCAGCCTGGGCCTTACCTGCGGCGCAGACTCCAGGGTCCCAGGGAACAGGAGTGCCCCGTCCAGCACGCAGGGCACAGAGGCCAGGTGGACATGGCCCCCGCCCCCTCTTGCCTGGCGCTAGGGGCTGTGCTGCCAAAGGGCCCAGACTGTCTCCTGAGCCCACTGAGGACACCCTGCTCTTACAGACTCTGGTTTACTCTTCCCAACTGGTCACTTTGCTTTGTAAATGTATCTTGGCCAAAATCTCAGAATCAGTTCACACCACTGTTTCTGCTATTGGTCACACTAAAATCTGTCGAGCAATTTTTTTTTCTTTAGAGATGGGGTCTCACTCTACCACCCAGGATAGAGCATAATCGTAGCTCACTGCAGCCTCGAACTCCTGGGCTCCAGGGATCCTCCTGCCTTAGCCTCCTGAGTAGCTGGGATTATAGGTGCATGCCACCGTGCCTGGCTAATTTTTTTCTATAGAGACAGGGTCTCACTATATTGCCCAGGCTGGTCTTGAACTCCTGGCCTCAAGCGATCCTCCCACCTCGGCCTCCCAGAGTGCCAGGACTACAGGTGTGAGCCACCACACTGGCCTGTCAAGTAAATTTTGAACTGACATACCCTGGTAACTATAGTTAAGAATGATGTATATTTCAAAATTGCTAAGAGTAAATTTCAAATGTTCTCACCACAAAAAATAAGTAAGTATTTGAGGTGAAGGATATGTTAATTAGCTTCATTTAACCACTCCACATCATACACATACATAACATCACTTATGCCCCATCAATATATGTAATTTGCCAATTTACAATAAAACAAAAAAATCGAACTTACATATATAAATGCAAGTCAGGAAAAAAAGGGCAATCCTAATAAATTATAATCTTGCCTGGTACTAAACAAACTAAATTTGAAGAGATTCATTTTTTTCGTAAAAAACACAAGGAGGAGTGAAATAACATTAATAATAACTATCAGTGCTAACCACCAGGTGCCTGGGGGTTCGTTTTTTTCCTCCACTTTTGTGTATGAATATTTTCACAATTAAAGGTTAAAAACAAAGTTTATGAGCCACACAGCTCAAAATCCAAAATCATGATCTCACAGGTGAGTTACAAAGAGGACTATCCCAGTTTGCATTTTGGTAAATATCATGCTGAGAAAGGCCACACAAGTCAGGAGGCAAACAGGCCACTGTGGCCCTGGGCAGCTGCTCCAGTGTCCCAAGTAGACAGAGCCTGGAGCCCCCACCTGTGCTTCCACCTTTCTCCAGGTGAGTTAATAAAATGGCTACGCATTTGATTCTCTCCAGTGCTCTGACACAGATCAAACTTCCCAGGCAGAGGCCAGATAAATCCAGGCCACAAAGCCCCAGAATGGAGCAAGGCTCCATGGCCACGCCAATGCAAACAAAGCCATGTGGCCTCTGGATAAACACAGCAGCTGGGAGAACCCAGGCCTGCTGTTCCACAGAACCTTTCCCCAGAAGCTCAAAGTAATTTAGGGACACTCACTAATTAGCTTAATTAAGTCTCTCAAGCCTCCTCCATCCCTCCCTTCCTCCCTGCTGCCTGCAATGCCAAGCAGTGCTGGGGGGCAGGGAGGGGCGGCAGGTTCCACTTGCACACAAACCCGTGTAAACTCTCTAGCCGCCCTTCCCGGGGGCTGTTTGGAGAACACTGAACTTTGGAGCATTGACGCTCACTCTGAAAATAGATAAATCCATTAACCATAAGCACTTTACCTTTACCTGGTCCACCCTAAGTCTACAAGAGATAGAGACAAAAAGACACCAAGTACTTTCCGGGCCACTGTGCGAGTAAGAGAACATCTGTACACTAATCGCGGACGGTGGGCACAGTGCTGTCACCTGCTGTGGCCTTTCACGCTCGCTGAAGAAGCCTCCTACCATTGAATTGGGTTACCAAGAAGACTGTAAAAACCTTCTGAGCCGGTGCTAATACGTTTTGCTTTTCCGCCTCTGGAATTTCTGCTCCCACTGATCCACATAAAAGACAGATTCTCAATCTAATTCCTTCAGAAGCAGGAATTTGGAATTGTTTCTTCAACTATCTTCCTGCTAGCAGGCCGGATGGTCTAGTGTGCAGAATTCACGTTAAAACAGGAGGACAGATGGGGACAGGTTAGAACAGGAGGACAGGTTAGGACAGGAGGAATCCAACAACCAACCACTCATGGATGATCCATCTTTCCTAAAAATCACGACGTAGTTCAAGACCCTGACCGTCTCCACGCAAGTGCCCCAAGACACTAAGGAACTGTTGAACCCCTTTGGCATTTGTTTCAAGTTAGGACCTTTCAAGGGTAAACTGTGCTCTGATGGGGCTGGGGCCAAGGTCGGAGGGCACGTGCTTACAGCTGTCAGGCCGCCTCCCCTAAATCTCCTGTTGCTCCCAGTAAAAGCCGCAGCAGGGGCCAGGCAAAAACCCACAGCTTTAGTCCTGGCCCCTCGCTGCTCAGGGGAGCCCGCCACAGAACCACAGCTGGACTGCGAAGGAAGCTGCTCCCCACCCTCCACTCTTGACCTCGTCAAGGAAAGAAAAGCAAAATGCTAGCTCATCCTTTGGAACACAGATGTGAATTTCAAGTTCAGAGCTCTTTTATCATTAGTGATACGTTTAGGATAATTTAAGTTTTATTTATTTATTTATTTTGAGACAGAGTCTCACTCTGTTGCCCAGGCTAGAGTGAGTGCTGTGGCGTCAGCCAAGCTCACAGCACCCTCAATCTCTTGGGCTCAAACAATCCTATGCCTAAGCTTCCCAAGTAGCTGGGACTACAGGCATGCACCACCATGCCCGGCTAATATTTTGTATATATATATTTTTAGTTGGTCAATTAATTTCTTTCTATTTTTTTTAGTATAAACGGGGTCTAGCTCAGGCTGGTTTCGAACTCCTGACCCCAGTCGATCTGCCCGCCTCGGCCTCCCAGAGTGCTAGGATTACAGGCGTGAGCCACCGGCCTATATTTTAAGTTTTAAACAACTTTCTGGTACTTGAAGGCTCTCTCCTACACTCCTCTGGGGCAGCAACACCACCAAAGGCTACAGCTGCTTCTTAAAAAGTTTCATTTCATTTAAGCAATACAGACTTCAAAAAATTAACTTTCCAGCCCACTGTCTGCTGAAAACGAATGCTAGGTTAAGGGACATGTGGACTGCACGTGAGCTGAGGATGAGCCAATTCCTTTCATTACACCCTGTGCTCTGAAACCCAGTGTACTGTCATCACCAACATAACGTAAGTGCATCTCAGCCCAAACTTCATTTCCTAATGGAAGAATATGCACCGTATTATTTTCATGAATCATTTTTAAATCTTCACTTTTGAAAAGATAATGTATTTTTTTTCCAAGCAGCTTCAAAGGAACTCTTAAATGTGTATCAACCTTGCCAGCTGAAGGATACTTTTAATCTCTCTCATGAAACAGTGGTTCGTATCATGAAATTAAACTCTCAGTACTAATAAATGGGGTATGAAGTAGACATCTAAAATGGAATGGAAATTTCTGTGGTTTTTCTTTCAAGGCCATAGCAAATGACCAAACTTGGACTTTTCAGGACAGAGCACAAACTGAAATAATCTGAAAATAAATTAATCCATGATTAGCTCTACACTTTCCAGCTGAGAATACTGCAGACATTGTTTCAATGATCAAGTGACTGGAAGCAAGCCGGATAACTGCATGTTAATGAAATGATCCTGGAGGCGGAAATAGAAGACACTGGACCTTCCAAGACGTGTATCAGAACTGGGGTCAACACATACAGATGTGACAAGGCTGGAGACATTCAGAAAGCGTTGTGCAAGCACATGCCTGTTGCATTTGCTGACCCCCTAAAGTGCAAGTGATTCTGCTCCGCGCTTTGTTTAGTTAAGAACACCACGGAAGATGGCATAGCTGGATACCTGCTGGTAGACGCCTACTCTCCAGCGTTCATGTTTAAAATTCTAACAGTCCTACCTGGTTTCACCTGCTTTGGTGCTACCTAGGTCTTCCTCATGAATGTTAGCCACAAAACAAGGGATGGACAAGGAGGTTGACCATACCAGGAAGTCACGTTGCATGACATTACAGAAATAGACACTTAGAAGTCAGGTGAACTGTCCCACTTTGGGCAAGCAAGTTTCTTAGCCTCTTTGGGCCTGAGTTTGCTCATCCGTAGTATGGGGATAATAGTAAGTCTTTTGCAGAAGTGGGAAAATTAAGTGCAATTATGTCTCTAAAGTTCTTAGCGCAATGCCAGTCTCAAGGCTTCTGAACCCCACAGGTGAAACACACGGGCGTGGCATCGTCTAACATCCGGCAAAAAGGGAGCGCCACTAGGCAGTGTATTTGCTTACAGGTTCCATACATTGCAGTACTGAGGCTTCTTGACCAAGTACTTACATGAGACAAAGGTGCCATCGGGGGTTTCTCTGGAGTCTACGTTCTGGTGCTCCGGTCCCCATCCCCTCCGGGAGTGGAGCCAGCCAACACAAACCAAAGGGTAATAAGCACCGGTTTTACCAACAGGTGCAAAAGAAAAGGCGCCAGGCACATGGTGGGGCCGGCTCGTAGGTCGACCCGCTGGGATGTCCCTGCGTACGCAGTGCCCGGCCAGGGCCGGGTGTGAACCATCACAGCCGCCTCTCCGAGGACCGAACCCCCAGCGGCGGCCGCGCGGACGCAGACCCGGGGGAGGGGCTGCCGGCCTCCGCGCGCCACCGGCCCAGGCGGGGAGCCGTCTGGCGTCCCGGCGCCAGTTCATTCAAAAGAGCCACCCCCTTGCGCGCGATCCCCAAGCCCCCAGGTTCCCGCGCCGCCCTAGCCCGGCCACCTCGGGGAAGGGAGGTGCCCGTCGCCCCCAGGGCCCGGCGACGGCAGGCGCCGTCTCCTCGGGCGTCGCCCCGCGGGCAGGACGGGCGGGCGCGCCGCGGCACTCACCCAGCGTGGCCACCGTGCCCGCCTCGAACAGCAGGCCGTCGCGGCGGCCGCGCGCCTCCAGCAGGACGCTGCTCTCCCCCGCGGCCTCCAGGCGCCCGAGCAGCCGCAGCCCCTTGCTCAGCGCCATGGGCGCCGGCCGCCGCGGGGCCCCGAGTCCCCGGCGCGCGCCGCCCGCGCCGCTCCGCGCCCCGACTCCCGGAGTTTCACTTTGCGCCGACGCCCCCGCCCCGCCAGGCTCCTCCCCGGCCGCCCGCCTCTCCTCCTCTTCCCGTCCTCCTCCGCCTCTCGCGTCCGCGCTGCTCCTTCCTCCCGGGCAGGTGAGGGCGCCGCGGCCCGGCCCACGCCCGCCCGGCGGAGGGGCCTGCGGCGCGGCCGGACGCGGATTCCGCGCATTCCTCGGCGCGGAGGAGGACGCGCGGGGCCCGCGGGGGCCTGGGAGTAACCAGACCGCCCGGTCGCCCGCGGCCTTATATGGGCAGCGGCTGCAGACCCCGGCCGCCGCCCTCCGTCGTCCGCTTCCGCGACCCCCGAGGAGCTGCGCCGCCCCCGACTCTCTGTGCCTCAGTGGCCCTGCAAAGCAGGGTTGGGCGGGCAGCTCGCGGGCCTGCTTTACAGGGGGAGGCGAGGACGGGGTTACTCGCTAAGGTTACTCGCTCACTTTCATGAGCGCGTGGAAAGTGCTGGATCAACGTCGCCGTGTCCCAGCGTTCCACGCGGGAGGCTGCTGCGGTCCGCAGTCCCCGCCGGGCAGAGGTGCGGGGGGTCAGCCGTGTGCTGTCGCGGAGAGAACTGGGGCCCGATGCCCGGACCGCGACCCCCTTAGCACACGCTCTCCACCTCCGGAGCGCCGTGGGCCTCGTGTGTCAGACCCCCGCGAGTACCCCGAGGCAGGGCCGGCCTGACAGACCTTGTCGTCTGCGGAGGAGAGGAGACGGGAGAGGGCTTCTAGGCCCTGCTCCGCGTCGCCCTTTGGGGCAGTTTGAGGTTTAGTTTCCTTCTTTTGAAATGGGTGCGTGAGGATAGCCCCAGAGGCCTCCATCAGGGTGTTCCCATGGGGTCCCCAAACTAACCCGGTTGGTCTCACCCCGTTCTGCACTGAAACGAGAAGACGTCTCTTCTTGCCCATTCCGGAAGGGGCAGAGGCTCCAGTGCCCAGCAGGACATTGCAATGTCCTTGCAGACATTTGGCAATGACCAGACATTTGACCCTTGGTGGACAGCCCTACGGGGGCTGACTCGGGTAATAAAGTCATTAGGAACAGCACAGCAGAGATCATCGTGGGCCCTCAGCCCCCTTCCTCCTGGCCCACATCAGCTGTGATGTGGTGGCTGTCCCAGGCATGGTGCTCACAGCTGTCCCTACAGATTCTTTCTCAGTGGAAGGGAAATATCATTACCTCATGAGAACAGTGCCCATGAAATGAGGCAGATTAGCCTCTGACCCCCTCTTTCCTTTTAAACCCAAAGTTGACTTCTTCCAGGAAGCCTTCCTGGAATGCTGAGGTCCCAGAGAACAGTGTTTATATACACTCAACATTCTTAGACTTCAGTTTCCACTTGCTCATATGTTGCTTGAGAAATGGTTTTATACCTTTTCTCTTAGTCTTGTCTCTCAAATTAAGTAGTAAGGTCTTAGGGAGAGAGGACCAAGTCTTCTGTTAATCTCTCCTCTTTCCTAACTGGCATCACGCAAGTTGACCTTCTGCACCGTGGCATGCTGTACATATTTCAGAAATGTTCCTAGAGTCAGGACCAGCACTTGAGCTTTATAGCTTATAGAATCTAAGACACTATCAACTGTAAAATGAACCACTATTTTATGTACCAGGAGGGAAAAAAAGCAAACTTCCAGTTAGACTGTTATAACATGCCACTAATTGTAAGCTCTGCTGTGATTTTGGCAATGTTAACCTGCACATCTCAGACTCAAGAACTGGGGTGGCTGCTCCCCTATCTCTAAGAATCGGCTGCATGAGGCAGGCGGCGGCTGGGTTTCCGAGCGTGTGCCATCTGGTCTCGGGTGGGGCGGCCCACGTGGGTGGCAGACAGAGGCAGCACCGTCCTTTTATGTGCACAGTGTCTGGTAGGCCACGGGTCACCGGCACTGGCACCTTGAGCAGCTGGAGACAGTAACGAATCTGGGACAGGCGGGGAAAGGGTCGGCCCGGACACCTCGACCCCAGACGGAACCTGGGAAGACAAGGGGGACCGGCTGTGTCGGAAGAGATGGGCGCCTGCCCTTCCTGAGCTGCAGAGCACCTGCAGGGCGTGGCATTGGGAAGGGGAGAAGGGGATGGAAGGAAAAGCCAAGGCCACTGGCCCCTGAGTCACCACAGCAGGAAGTTCAACTCACGTGGTGCGGGCTGGGGAGCAGGGAGCCCGGCAAGGGAGCAAAGCACGCAAAGAGGGACAGATAGGGGCGATGTTAAGGACCGAGTGCTTGAACTCCTCCCCCCAAATCCATCTGTGGAAGCCCTGCCCCCAGTGGCATGGTACTTAGAGGTGGGACCTTTGGGAGGCAATTAGGGCGAGATGAGGCCCTGAGGGTGGGGGTCACCTTAATGGGATTAGCGTCCTAATAACAGGAGACACTGGAGAGCTTGCGTGCTCCCCACCCCATGCACCTGCTGAGGGAAGCCGCAGCTGAGGCTGGGAAGAGGCCCTCGCCGGGAGCCACGTGGGCTGGCACCTTGATCTCGGAGCTCCCAGCCTCCAGAACTGCAAAAAATAAATTTCTGTTGTTGAAGCCATGCAGTCTGTGGTATTTTGTTATGGCAGCCCGAGCTAAGACAAGAGAGATTTTGAAGAAATTCATGTCTATATTTGGTGTCTGATCGCACGAGGGGCACAAAGGACAGTCAGGACTCAGAAGAACCAGGTGTTTCGAGAATGAGACCGTGGTGCTGCCCTCACAGAGCCGGAGAACAGCGGAGGAGGCTTGTGTACCTGGGACAGGACCACGTGGTACAAAAGAAGATAAAAATCTCAGGACCCCCCTCCCAAACTCCTTATTCGAAAGGGAAGGTCCAGACTGGATGCTGAGTCACCCAACACCCACTTCCAGCCCTGCTACCCTGCATCGGCCAGGGCCAGACCCCAAGGGAGCTGACAGCCCTTAGGCACCTGCCGAGGACAGACGGGTCCCCACAGAAACAACAGGAACTCCTTGCTGGCCTCCCACAAACATGGACAGGCACATGGTAACTTTGGGTCTGCAGGCTAAGTCTAGCTCCTAAACCGAAGTCTGTTCAGTTCCATGCTAATGAATGTTGAGGACAAGTTTATCTTCCCAGGTGCAGAACAGAGATCAAACACTCTTCCGGGTAGCTCCCTTCACTCCCTTTATCTCTCCTCTTATGCAAAATGTTTCCTGGGCCTCACAAGAATGTAACAGGTTACCTCACTCCCTCCTTTTTTTTGTCTATAAGGTTTCCCTTTTAAATACTAAAGTCCCCAAATTCCCCTTTGGAAAAACAGTCACGGTTTGTCTGCGGTTTGTCCCCTGGCGCGTCCTCCAACTGTGGCTTGCTGACCCTCCACCTAGGGAGACGTTGCCTCGGTCACTTGCGTGGGTTGCCAGTGGCAGGTGAGTCTGTTTGGGTGTGCTGAGTTGGGATGAGGCCGCGGTCCAGCTGGCAATGGCCGCGTGTCAGAGGCCTGACGAGAACACGGCAGCTGGAGGGGGCCAGGCAGGGGCAGGAGGCGGCGGTCTGAGCACGGGAGGGCAGGAGGAAAAGACTAGCAAGAAGCAGCCCCAGAAAGCAGAGAAGCCGAGGGCGTGGCCCGGAGAGCTCTGGGAAGCCCTGGGAGGCCAGGGGTTTGAGAGGCTCAGGAAGGGCTCCAAGAGCGAGGACTGGGGTTTGGAAAAGGACCAGGGTTTGGTGAGAAGGCAATGGCGACCTCTGCGGGGGCCGTGTTACTAGAGGGTTCTGCAAAAAGCAGCTGCAAAGAATCAAGGAAGAAATGCAAGCGGCTAAATATAGTCTGCTGGCCCTCGCAGCCCGGCTGGGAGAAGCACCAGATGAGTAGGATGGGGACAGAGGGGACAGCTGGGACCCTTTAGGACTGCCTGGCCAGCACACGTGGGAAGGCCGGCAGCGAAGAGCTCGGGACATGCCTGCAGGAGGCACCCAGAACAGGAGGGAGGGAAGAGGGTGCAGAAGCTGAGCTGCCACGCAGTCCTACAGGCCTGGCCGTCCCAAGAGGTGTCCTGAGTGCATCGGCCACTCCCGGCCGCGGAGGAGGCAGAATCCGGCGAGACAGCTCCCTCCCGCAGGGAGCAACCCTGCCAGCACCCTGAGGATGAAGGCCCCTCCTGGAGGCGGGGTCTCAGTGGACACCTGGTCACCGCCTGGTCTGGCATTTCCAGCCTGGCTCTAGGCCCCTCCTTCTCCAGGCCCTGCTGGCAGCCAGAGGGGTCGTGTTGACAACATCACTCGGCTCAGCCAGCGCGCCGGGGAGCCCCGGTCTGGCTGCTCCTCGGCCTGCTGCATCTTGTCCCCACCTGCAGCTGCTTTCTGCTTCGTCCAGCCGGCAGGCTACCGTCGCGTTGCTGCGCACGTGCCCCCGGCGAGCCCTGCGTGAGCCTTGGCTGCTCCTGCGTCCTTCAGGTCTGTTAGCACATTGTCTCCGCAGTGAGGCCTTCCTGTCCCCATTGAGCATCCTCCACCACCGGCCCCTGAGGGGCTGGATTGTGACCCCCAAATCCACGTGTTGAACTCCCAACCTCCAGGACCTCAGAATGTGGTGCACTTAGAGACGCTGTCTTTAAAGGGAGGTTAAGTGGAAAGGAGCTCGTTCCAGTGGGTCCTGATCCAACACGAGTGGTGCCCTTATAAGAAGAGGAAACTTGGACCAGGTGTGTGCCCACAGAGGGAAGTCCACGTGGAGACAGAGGGACAAGATGGCCGTCCACGCGCCAAGGACGGAGGCCTCAGCAGAAAGCAACCCTGCCGACACCCTGATCTTGGACTTCCAGCTTCCAGAACTATAAGAAAGTAAATTTCTGTTCAGCCACCCAGTCCTCGGTGCTGTGTTGAGGCGGCCTGTGCAGAGACGAATACACCCCCAACATGTCCCGTCCTTCCCTGTTTTATTTCTCTCCTTAGCACTTACCACTCTCTAACGAACAGCTGACTTATTTATCCTGTTTGTCGTCCATGGCCCCTGC